GGTAAGTTTCCTGTATACAGCTTACTATCCAGGAGGTTGCTCCTGGAGGCTCATTTTCTTCCAAAGGTAATATCCTATTTTGTTTCAAACAGTCCCAGATTACCAGATATAATCCTTACCTGAGAGTTCAAACTGATAGATGGCTTGCGTAGCTTTAACAATGTCTTCATTGAGTGAGTCCTTGACAATTCTGAATGTTTCTTCCACAGGTCCAGAGCGTGGTTTTGTTTGGGGCACCTGCTTTCCTTCTCTGAATGCTGGAACGGCACCTGTGCAATATTATTCAAGCAGATGTCCTTAAAGTCTTGGCCATGTGAGGCTACACACAGATTTACTCATTAGCAGGACAAACTTGCTATCAATTAGACCTGTGTTTGACCAAAATGACCATAAGTACATTAAGTGGCATCTGAAACATATAGCAAGCTGATGAGTCAAAAACATTAGTTATGATTATAAATATAAACGGTTTATATTCTCCAAATAAAAGGCTGACTAGGTTCAAAAACTAGATTAAAAAAAAAAAACAAACAAACTACTATCCCATATACTTGTTTATAATAAACAAACCTAAACAAAACTGTTGGAGTTTTGGGGGTGATAATTAATCATGCCTTTTCTTAGAACTCCCTTTTAAGTTCTAAAAGCAAATGAAAAAGATGACCTTGGAGTCAAAAAGACCAAGATCAAAGTATCAGTTGTGTAATTAGTGAAGCTAAATTGGAAGTTGTACTGAATCAGTGGTCTAAAGTGAACTTTACTCTAAATTAAATTTATTCACCGAATCATTCAACTCTGGATTGAACCTGCCTTTTTCCATCAAAGGGTAGAAATGCCTCTGTAAACAGAGGTCATGTGAAAACTGAGGAAACTTGCAGAGGAAGGAAAAATGCTCCAAAGGGTATAAGCTGCACAAGCTCAGTTTGTCATTTAATCAGACTGGCCCTTCCCACTGGATGAAAAATTTCAGATTATGAGTCTGATGAAGAGCTCCTGCCTGGAAACAGGAGGTCAGGCAGAATGGAGGTTACCTGCAACATTTTCTTAATTGCATTCACTTAACCCATTAGCCTTGACCATTCAGCAGATGATCAGCCAGGGGAGAAGACCAACAGTAGTAAGTTTGTTCTGCTCCCATATCATGAAGCTGCTCTTCTAATACCAACCTCTGCTTCTTTATTTACCCTCCTCCAATCACCTAAGGGCAGTGTAGCAGTTGCTCCCCAAAACAGGTGAGACCAGTTTAATTAATTCCAAGGCCCTCCTGTACTCTACATTGAAAATTAGCTCCCATTTGCCAATGCAAATTATACCCAGCCATCTTGTCCGACAAAACTTACCAAAGGTTATTCAAGGACATCTTATTTGAAAGCATGGTGATGCCCAAGAGTATAAAGCCAGCAATGTAAAAGTATCCCAAATTTGCTGAATATAAATTGCTTTCCATTATGATGTTTCCATGGATAAATAAAATCCTTCTCATAAGTTAAAATCCAAACAGATATTAAAGATGAAATAAATCCTTAAGGTCCACAGGACCAAAAGAGATATATATACACATTTTTTTTTTTACTTTTAGTCAGCTTTATGATTGTTTTTAAATTCACTAAGAAAGTACACCCAGGGAAAACCACTCCTGTTGCCTCATCCTTGGTATGGCCTGTTTTTCTTGAAGTATATAACACACAGGAATAGTGACCATAAACACAACAAACCAAAAACCAAACTCACTGCCATGGAGTCAGACCCGACTGATAGCAACCCCTCCTTGGGTTTCCGAGGCAGTAGCACTATAGAAGTAGATCGCCTAATCCACCAGCCTTCTGGTTAGCAGTCTTCTGGTTAGCAGTCACATCCCTTAGGTACTATGCCACCAGAGCTCCCATATACAGCTCAATCAATTATCAGAAAGTAAAGACATCACCATGTAGATCACGAAGTAGGACATTATGGGTACCCAAAAGCCCACTCATGCCTTCTCTTTTAATTTTACGCCCTCCTTACTCCCTAAAAGTAATTTTATCCTGACATCAAGTACTATGGTTTAGTTTTGTCTCATTTTTACTTTCATATAAATGGAATCAAACATACAGTTTCTAATTTTTTATGCCTACCAATTCTTCACAACCTTTTCCAAAAAGTGGAAGAGGAAGGAACATTTCTCAACTCATTCTACAAGGCCAGTATTACTCTGGTACCAACACTATGAGAAGACAGAAAAAGGAAACATGGATATACATGTGAAAATGCTCAACAAAATACTGTTGACCCTTGAACAACGTGGATTTGAACTGTGTGGGTCCACTTACTGTGGATTTTTTTTTAAGATACAGCTCTTGGAGAAATTCAAGGGTTAATAAACACTACACCAAAGGAATGAACAGAAGACAACTTGATGGAGATGAGTGCTTCTGAACCACAGCCAGGTGATGAGGTTGAAGACAGAAGAGGCAGTGCCAGCAAACCAATCGACAGTACATAATCTGGCAGAAGGGTTCCGATTAGTCAAGACTGCTTTTGACTTCTTTTATGACATGGACCCTTCTATGATACGGGCACTGAAACAAGTACACAGTGGAAGAAGGATTGGTACTGTACAGAAACATATTACAGAAATGAAAAAGCAAAAAAGTCAGACAGAAATTACGATGTTTATCAGTAAAGTTACACCAAAAGTGCCTAAAAAACACAGAATGCCTGAGCTCTGTCTCATGAAAGACCTCAAGGAAGAATTCAGCCCACCTAAAACAAAGAAGAAAGGCTCTTACATTTTTCAGCCACTGGATCAGACTTCCAGTGCCTAAGGAGCTCTGGTGGCACAATGCCTAAAGGCATGTGACTGCTAATCAAAAGGCTGGCGGTGCAAACCCATCAGCTACTCTGCAGAAGGAAGACCAGGCAATCTACTTCTGTAAAGATTTGTTGTTATTTGCCACTGAGTTGGCCCCGACTCCTAGCGACCCCTCCTTGGGTTTCCAAGGCAGTTATCACTAGGGAAGTAGGATTGCCCAACCTTCCTTCCGAGGAGTGGCTGGTGGGTTTAAACCGCCAGCCTCCTGTTTAGCAGTCAAGTGCCTTAGGCACTATGCTACCAGAGCTCCTGGAAATCCAATGAGGGTCGCTATGAGTCGGAATCAAGTTGAAGGGAGTGGGTTTGGTTTGGTTTTTGGTTGGATCAAACTTCGGGTCTGTATCAACTAGAAGACTAGGACCTGTTCCTGTTTTATAGACGCTGCTTTTCATGATCAATATTATTCCTCATTTTCATCTTTCAAATACTATGTCAAAGTCTGCAGCTCCCAAATAACAGAGGACTAGGCTATAGATGGAGCCCTAGTGGTGGTGGACCCTGGGAAGTACACACCCCAAAATATGGCTACTAAAGACGAGAAGAGGAAGAACCCTGGCAGCAGTGCTTGCTGGGAAAAGTGGTTTTTAAGCAGAGGAGGTAAAAGTCTCCTATCAGATTCACACACTGGCCCTAGCTGTATGTCCAATAGATACCACAACAGAAACTGGAGCTGAAAAACATGTCTACCAAATGTGCAGGCAGTAGAACCAAAAGAACCATCATTTGACTACACTAAGTCTCAAGAGATTTCCTAATATGAAGATGAATTAACAGGGAAAAAAATAACCTGATGCTGATTTAAAAATAATGTACCACAAGAGTAATGGAAGGTTATTCTGAATAGCAGAAGTCTGTCTCTAAAATAATCTACTATGTAAACCACAAAAATTCCTCCACATGAAGACTGTATGAAACAGGCACAGGAAGTCTTAAGAGATTAAACTAGCTAAGATGAGATGAAAACAGGACAAAATGAAAGAGAAAACAGGTGGCATGAAAAGCAAAAAAGCACAACAGTGAAACAAGCATAAACATTTGAAGCAATATGGAACAAAATTAAAAATGCAGAAAATCTAATCAGTAATACAAAGGACAAACCTGAAATTTGTACCAGGTTTCTTACCAGACTTCAGAAGAACAGAAAGATGCAAATAACAAGACATGGTAATACTTACAAGGAAAAGGTAATCAAGCTAAGAATAAATGTCCATAAGGAGAATACAGAACAACTGAAACAAGCAAAACTATAAAAAAAAAATTAAATAAATAAATAAACTGGAGGGAAAAAAAGACTGAGTGGGCTTCCTGGGTTCCAGTGGAGGGGCAAGAAGCAATGAAGCAATGATAGCTATAAACATGCTGGCCAAACGCCTTCAAACATTCTGGCATAGAAAAAGATTGCCAAGAAAGGAAGACATTAAATTGCTTTAGTTTTCCTCAGAACCATGCTTTGGTGGGACAGACCCCTCAGGGTGCAGTCCCTCACTACTGTGCCTCCATTAAGTGCCAGCAGACAATGGAGCAGTGTTTATAGATTTTTCATGGGCAAAGGTGGTTAATCCAGGCATCTCACACAAACTTGACTTTCACAGTAAGTACGTATCTCCCTCCAATATATTCTTCCTGATAGCCAACGAAGATGGGAATCAAACGTAAAAACTCAAGAAAATGGGTATTCGTGGTATAAAAGGATTACAGGGTCTTTCATTACATCAGTCTAGACTATATTTTCTCAGGTCAATTCTATGTAAAAGGAAAACTGAGGAAGAACTGACATACTATGGTGCTGGGAAAGACAACTGAATATATCATGGACTGCAAGAAGAACAAATAAATCTAAGCAAATGTATAGCTGGAATACTCCTTAGAAGGGCACATGGTGAGACTTCACCTCACTTACTTAAGATGTTATCAGGAGGGACCAATTCCTGGAGAAGGGCATCCTGCTGGGTAAAGTAGAGGGTCAGTGAAAAAGAGGAAGACCCCCAACAAGATGGAGTGATACTGTGGCTGCAACAACAGGATCTAACACAGCAACAGATGTGAGGACGGTGCAGGCCTGGAAAACGTTTCACTCTGTTACACATGGGGTCCCAATGCGTCAGAGCCAACCCTATGGGCACCTACAGGGCAATTCTGAAACCTAGGGGTCCGGCCTCACTCAGCACCGCTTCCCTCAGTTGTTCCTCCCGCCCCCCCCCCCACTTCCCAGCACCGAGAAACACATTCCTTGACGCAGACCCTTTTCCCCAGAGTTCAGGCGTTTTTTGATAACAATCTGAAGTAGTAATAGGGGATCTGTTCTGATGCTGAATAACAGCGGCATACAAGTCTGGAACACATCATTATTTTGCTTCCACAAAAGTTGGACAGAACAATGTAATGCCATTTCCTCTGCTAATTAATTTTAGGTCATCACCTTAAATTTTCCTGAATAATCTGAGATTTTGAATTTTTTTTTTTAATTTTATAGAAACATTAGCACTCTACCTAGTGACTCGCCTCATTTCTCACCAAGCTTCACACCATTAACCCTTCAATCAATCTTATAAACGATCCTATTAACTGTGGTCAAAAATTAGTATATAAATTAGAATTTCAACTACTTTTTAAAGTCTGGAAAAAATACTATAAGACAATAAATGTATCAAAATGTTACAGTGGCCATGATGATGCACTACAGGTATGCACAATGTCACCTCGAGGGAAATGGGTGGAGAGTATACAGGAGTATCTCTCTGTATCGTTTTTATAGCTGCGTGAGAATCCACAACACCTCATAATAAAAAGTTAAAAAAAAATGTTATCACTGTATCTCACTTAGTAGTGGGATTCATTTCCTTTTGTATTTTTTTTTCTAATTATTTAAAATTATGGTAAGTATTGCTTTTATAATGAGAAAAACCATTAACTTAAATTATGTACATAGTTTTACAATGCATTATTTAAAAAACAAAACAAAACTCACTGCTGTCAAGTTGGATCTGAGTCATAACAACCCCTCCTTGGGTTTCTGAGGTAGCATAGTGCCTAAGGCACTTGACTGCTAACCAGAAGGCTGGCGGTTCAAACCCACCAGGCAATCTACTTCTGTAGTGATACTGCCTCGGAAACCCAAGGAGGGGTCGCTATGAGTCAGGTCCGACTCAACAGCACATAACACTAACATCACTACAGAAGTAGATTGCCCAACCTTCTTCCGAGGAGTGGCTGGTGGGTTCAAACTGCCAGCCTTCTGTTTATCAGTCAAATGCCTTAGGCAGTAAATTACATATATACTATACAAAACAAGTACTTGAGAAAGTACAACCAGTGTTAACAAGGGTTATTACAATAGTGGGTACAAAGAAAGGTGAACCTCTCCCTCTTTGGAAATGAGGGATACACACTGCTCTCTGAGAGGTCAATTGTGACATCAACATACCAGGATATGGACATGAAAAATCACCTGAAAACAGTAAGTCAGAACCCAGTCCAGACAAACTGGACTATTACCTCTATGAATGTATTAATGTTTCTACAGAAAATGTTAAATAGAATTGCTGTTGACTCAACCAGGAAGGATAGGAAAAAAGCAAACTACAGAAGTAAATGCTCTCTCTAGCCTGGTGTAGGGAAGAGAAGTGTTAGTTAAAGGGATCTGAGTATTCTGACCTAAAGGGTGAGGGTACTCTCATGTGGGGATCGATACAGGGTTGTGTCAATGGACTTGTACTCTGATCCTATGGGCAAAGTCATCCTAATGCCAGTAAACACGTAACTTACATTTTACTTAACTATTCCCTCTCACTCTGATTCCATGCCCATTAAACAGTCTTCTGACTGTTCCCTATGTAATTATGTGTAAAGGGAAAGAATATGTTGATCATAACAACTATAAGTAGTCTAGCCCATGGGAGGGCAATTTCTCATTATAAATTAATAAACTGTATCACTGGGGAAAAGAATATACTAAGTTAAAAGACTTTCAGGAGTTAAGAAAGTAATTTCTTACTGGAAATTAAGTTTACTGGTGAAGGACGTAAGGGAGCTCTGGTGGTATAGTGCCTAAGGCATATGACTGCTAACCAGAAGGCTGGTGGTTCAAACCCACCAGCTACTCCTCAGAAGGAAGATTCAGCAATCTACTTTCATAGATATAGCACCTTGGAAATCCAAGGAGGGGTTGCTGCAAGTCAAATCGACTCGACGGCAGTGGTTTTTTGTTTTGGTGAAGGACGTGGGCTTTGGAATTAGAAAAACATAAGTTCAAGACCTAGTTCTGCCAATTGCCAACTATGTGATGTCAGGTATAAAATGAGAACACCTGCTTTGTAGGACCATCACAATTAATTGAAATAGTGCAAGCAAAGTACTCAACAGTGTTTGGCACATAGTAGGTGCCCAATAAATATTTGATGAATAAACAAAATTAATATATGTGATCAATGGGTGATTCTTGTTATCTGAAATCTGGAATTCAAATGAGCTCAGTTCATGGACATCTTCCTCTAAAAGGCAGATCCAGTCTGAGGGTCTTGGCAAAAATCAGGATCTTAGACTCACTTAACTCGAAGACCACACTCTTCTAGGCTTTGATGAACCCTCTAGGTAATTTCTGCCACTCTGTAAGAGGCTTTTGGGGAAAAAGATGGCCTGCCTTGTTTTTCTTGTTTTAATAATCTGATGCAGCCAGGTGGCAAGTAAATCAAAGACCTAATTTTTAAAAGAGCTCTCTCCAGGTAGTAGAATTATGAGTAATTTTTCTTTCTATATTTTTCAAATTTTCTATAATACAAAAAATGTTGCCTTTTTAAATACCTAAGTAATCTTTAAAAACTATTTCAAACAATTTGGACTAAGTAAAAATAAAGATGGAAAAGGTAACATTTAAGCCTGGAATAAGGTTTGCCACTAAATAGCATTGCAGATTGTTGTTGTTGTTGTTGTGTGCCGTCGAGTCGGCCCCGACTCATAGCGACCCCTCTTTGGGTTTCCGAGGCAGTTATCACTATGGAAGTAGGATTGCCCAACCTTCCTTCCGAGGAGTGGCTGGTGGGTTTGAACCGCCAGCTGTCTGGTTAGCAGGCAAGTGTCTTAGCCACTATGCTACCAGAGCATTGCAGAAGGGCTCTACAAATTTGCCAAAGATACAGAGGAAACCTGTTCCTTCTAAAGAGTCTATGATTCTGTAGGGATTCACAGTGTCTATAAGATAAAAATAAGGCAGGTGCCCAGAAGAAGTACCGCCATTACTGTTAGTAAGACATGAGAGAAATTCCTTCCATGGGACTTCATCAAAGAGTGTTTCTTCACTAAGCCAGTGGCATCATGCCAGAACACAGACTAAAAGCTAAGCTCTGGACCAATTTAAAGGAGCTATTTTTTCTGAGTTAAAAAAACAAAACTAAATAAAAGAAAAACCCCCTTAGAAGTTAACTGCTTCTATAAAGTAGTTTAGCACAAATTCTAAGAATGGTCTTAGATGTACTCCGATGTGACATCTCTCTTCTCAAAATAAAGTAACACATGAATCAAATACCTAAAGACAGTGCCAAGGAAAATAAATTAAAAAGGAATTTTCAGGAAACTTTTATTATTATTTAGCTAAATGCAAACCAAACCAAACCAAAATGCAAAGAATATATTAAATAGGAATACAAAGACAACCTTCTACCAGAATTTACTAAAAACTCATAATACCTGTCTAGTTTAAATTACAAAATGACTTAAAAGCAGCAGCAGGAATGTCACTTTCATAGGATCAATTCTGTATTTTGGAAAAAATATAAATTAGTATCTTTAGTTTCCTATGGTCTAAATCTTACCATGGGATTCCATTTTCTTGGGAATTATATCTGGGAATTCATCTAAGAAGAAATCTGGTATCAAAGGATGGCCTGAAAAATTAACCACAAAATAATCAGTTAATGTGACACCTACAATATATTAAGATTTTAATACAGTGTGACTGTTTGCAAAACAACATTGTATCTTGTTTTTTAAATGATCAGTTGGGTGCAGTGGAAAAGATTCCTATGAAAACTGTCCAACTATCTAATCATCATTAAGCTAAATACCTTTCCTACAAGCCAGTTGCCCTCACCGATGATAAATTTCCACTTCAAAATCCAATCACATTCATATGACATGGAACTTTAACTACTGGCCCAGAAGTCTTTGCCCCATCATCTTTCCGTGCAACCAACCCTCTGTCACACATCCCTCCAACGTGCTCAGGACTCATTTCTTCCCTTGCTCCTGAGGGAAGGGATCAGTCATTAGGAAGGACCACTTGTTTCTCAGCATCAGTGTATTGGTCTGTTCTCCCTTTTCCTCTCACTCCATCAGCAAAGAAACTAAGCTACTATATACCACTAAGTCTTATTTTCAACTAATAGCTGTGGTTAGAAAATGAGTTAATTATTAACATTACACTGATACCCCCAAGAGATGTGTCACAAAGCCTTCAAAACTGTAGTAGAAAGTTATTAACAATTCTTTTCTCTCTCTCTCTCTCTCTCTCTCTCAAAAGATTCAAACAACTTTTGGAGGGTGGGAATGTGTTGATATTTTGTTAGAGCCTAACATTTACTGTAGTGCCTGGTCATGTAAAGCTCTCAACATTTTATAGGATTTTTAATTTAGATTAAATTTTAAATGTTATGTCCAAAGATACTATGTCTTTTAAACCTCAAGTGATAATTACACTGTACCAGGACCCAGAAGACCTGTCTGCTATCTGCTGCTAGGCAAAGGCTTAATCTGAGTTTTGATTTTTGTTTTCACTTATAAATATTAACTATGGAATATTGTGTGTACTATGTGCCAGGCACTGTGCCAAGCACATTATACAGGTTACTGCACTTTCTTTATTGTATCCTGCATGAAAGGTCATTCTCTTAATTTTATCAATAAGGAAAATGAGGATCAGAAAAAGCAAGGGACAGGCCCAAAGCCACAAAGCCAGTGAGTAGCAGAGCCGGAGTCTACATCTGGGTTGTCTTCACCAAAACCCCATGTTTGTAATCACTAAGCAGTATCACTTTCCTCACAGGTGAAATAGATAATGTATATAAAAGTGTTCTGTAAAACTGTAAAAAGCTATTTCATTCTATTCAGTTCCAACTGAAGAGGCCAGGATGATAGAAATATAAATGTCATATGTTACCTAGAAGTTTACACTGATGAATAATAGTTCAATGTACATTAGTACAATAAACATACCTCCTATGTATTTATTATGTATCATATAATTTACACATAAAGTAAAAATCAATCACCACCATTATTCCCTGCAATTTCAGAGAGGAAGGTTTTTTTTTTTTTGAACAGGGGTCTTCCAGGAACTCCTCAAATCACACTAATACTCCTGAAAGAGACCTTGCACACTCACTTTTCCCACCTGTCATTAAGCTATTTCAGGAGAATAGATTCTAGAGATAAACATTTGGAAAGAGTCGACAATCTAAAAAGTTTTTGTTTTTTTTTTAAACCCTCTACTGATTCATTTTGAATACCTTATGAATAGCAGTGAAACACTGTCTGATAAAGTACCATGGACTGCTAAAAGAACTAACAAATCTGTCCTGGAAGAAGTACAGCCAGAACCTCCTTGGAAGTAAGAATGACCAGACTTTGTCTCACCTACTTTGGTCATGTTGCCAGATGGGACCATTCTCTGCAGAAGGATGTCATGCTTGGTAAAGTGGAGGGTCAACAAAAGAGGGGAAGGCCCTCAACAAGATGGACTGACACAGTGGCTGCAACGATGGGCTCAGGTATAGTAGGGACCATGAGGCTGGCACAGGACCAGGCAGTGTTTTTGTTCCATCGTACCTAAGGCTGCTATAAGTCAGAGATGACTCGACGGCATGTAACAACAACTGATTCATTTCTTCGAATAAAATCTTTACTCTGTGACTTTCAAGATCAACTTTATAAACTAATTTTAATTTTTGGTTTCAAGATTTAGAAATGGCTAGCTGCTGATGTGACCTTGCGCATCTGTTTTAACACTTCAAAAACCCTCAACTCAATTCTTTTTTTTTTTTCTTTTCTAAGTTGTGGTGGTATGGATTTTTCCATTCATTAAGACAGCTTGTTGTTGTTAAGTGCCATTGAGTCGTTTCCGACTCATAGCGACCCCATGCACAGCAGAACGAAACACTGCCCAATCCTGCGCCAGCCCCACAATCCCTGCTATACTTGAGCCCATCATCACAGCCACCGTGTCAATCCATCTCGTTGAAGGCCTCCCACTCTTTCATCGACCCTCCACCCTACCAAGCATGACATCCTTCTCCAGGGAATGGTCCCTTCTTACAACATGACCAAAATAGGTGAGACGAGGTCTGGCCATTCCTGCTTCCAAGGAGCATTCTGGCTGCACTTCCTCCAGGACAGATCCGTTAGTTCTTTTAGCAGTCCATGGTACCTTCAGCATTCTTCGCCAGCACAACTCAAAAGCATCAACTCTTCTTCGGTCTTCCTTATTCATTGTCCAGCTCTCACATGCATACGAGCATGAAAAGACAGCAGCTTTTCAAAAATATATAACTTTATTACCACACAAAACTCCAAAACCAATACCTCACTGCTGTTGAGTTGGTCCCCACTCACAGCGACCCGTCCTTGGGTTTCCGAGACATTATCACTATGGAAGATTTCCCAACCTTCCTTCTGAAGAGTAGCTGGTGGGTTTGAACTGCCAGCCTTATGGTTAGCAGTCAAATGCCTTAGCCACTATGCCACCACAGCTTACACACACACACACACAATGTGTTTTCTTTGTAAGACATTTTTTTTTTAAATAACTATTATTAAAAATATAAGCATCACCTGGTTTAATTGCATAGACATCAAAATTTTTTATTCCTTCTTCTTTTAAGATATTTTCATCAATAATAAAGTTGCCAGTAAAATTTTTTGGCTTTTTGAAAATAGAATATGCAGCATCTGCAATGATGTCAACTTTCCTACATTGGCTTTCAATACCAGATCCTCCCAGCATATCCATAGCAGCAGTGTGGATGGCTGTAAAGAAAACACACACATAACTCCACATCAAATAACAGGACTATGGAAGTAACAAGCAAGCATGACCCTCCACAGTTATCAACTCTGTTCTCTTAAGTAATGAAAACAAAGTCTTGAGAGCTTAAGTGATTTGTCAGATGTTCTACAAACAGAATTATGTAGAGGGCACACACTTCTTCATTCTACACAACACTGTTTTTATATATACACATATTGTTTATTGTGCTTTGGGTGCAAATTTATAGAGAAAACTTGTTTTACATTCAACAGTTCACGCACATCTGATTTCACAGCCTGATTACTGTCCCCAACCATAAAATTCTCCCCTCCCCTCTCCCTGCTATGACCACCCCATCCCCATGCCCTTCTCATCTATGCATTCCTGCCTCTCTGGCTTCCTCTCTATGTGCGTGCCACCCCTCTGGCATCTCATGGCTGATTGATCCAAGGGGTGCATCTCCCTAGAGTAGGTGGATGCACCAACCTGGGGTAGGTGTTCTGTATGTAGGTCTTTTTCCTGTTGGGCTGAGAGCCAATCTATGGAAGGGAGTCCATTTTAGGCCCAAAGGGTAACCAGGGCCATAGTCTCGGGGGTTCTACCAGTCTCTCTCCAACCAGCAATTCTAGTCATTTTTGTGTTCTGAATTTTGTTCCACATTTTTCCTCTCACTCTATCCAGGATCTCTAGACTTGATCCCTTTCTGAGCAGCTGGCACTGGTAGCCGGGCACCATCTAGTTCTTCAGGTCTCAGGCTGAGGTCCTCATGGTCCATCATATCTTTGGACTAATTGTTTCCAGATGACTTTAACCTTCTTCACTCTTCTTTGCTCCATATGAGAGGAGACCAACAGTTGCATCTTAGATGACCATGCAAAAGCTTTTAAGACCCAGTTGCTACTCACCAAATTAGGTTATATAACAAAATTTTTATGAACTATGTGTGCCAATTGAGCATGATGTCCCCCAGGAGTAGGGTCCCAAGCCCCCAGGTCTGGTGATTCTCTTTCACAAGATGTTTGGTTGTCTCTGAGAAGTTACTGTTGCTTCTGTAATGAGTGTGGCTAATTTTGTAACACAAGTGCATATGTAAGATTATCTTCAGCCAAATCTATCCTTGGTCTCGGGTGTATTCCTGTTTGTATACCCCCACCTGCTCTTCTCACCTGTCTATACATTAATCTGTAGCATGGTATTTGGTGCTAGTGATACTGCAGTATTGTGTACGTAATAGTATTTGCCTCTGTTGTCTACATCTTTTGTGTACATTCTCCCCAATGTCATCATACAAATATGGAATACTTCATGAATTTGCATGTCATCCTTGTGCAGGGGCCATGCTAATTGTCTCTGTATTTTTCCAATTTTAGTATGTGTGCTGCCAAAGTGAGCACTACACAACACTGTCATAAAGAACTACTTCAGTAAACTTAGGGCAAAATTCAGTTAGACTTCTGATGGAGAATTTGCAGTTCAACATCTTTGGTCTTCAGTTTCCTGTCTTAAAATTCAGAGCTTCCCTGCCTAAGTTTATTGTTTCTCTTCCTATTGTATCTACTAGAACACACGGTCCAAGAAAAGAGACTCTGATACAATGAAATATTATTCAGTCATTAGAAGAAATGAAGTCTTAATACATGCTGTAACAGGAATGTACCTTCACAACATGATGCTGAGTGAAAACAGACACAAAAGGACAAATACTGTATGATCCCACTTACATGTAACCTCTGTTGTTCTTATGTGCCGTCGAGTCGGACCCAACTCATAGCGACCCCTCCTTGGGTTTCTGAGGCATTATCACTACGGAAGTAGATTGCCCCATCTTCATTCCAAGGAGTGGCTGGTAGATTTGAACTGCCAGCCTTCTGGTTAGCAGTCAAGTGCCTTAAGCACTATGCTACCAGAGCTACTATGAAACCTCTGGAACAGGCAAATGTATAGAGATAAAAGTGTATCAGTGGTTACCAGGGGCTGGGGGAAGGGAGGGAATGAGGAGGTATTGATGAGGGGGCACTGAGCTGTTTGTGGTGATGAAAATCTTTTGGAAAAGGATAGTGCTGATGGTGCACATGGTTAAGGTAGTTAACGTCACTGAACTGTTGTTGTTGTTGTTAAGTGCTGTTGAGTCGTTTCCGACTCATAGCGATCCCATGCACAGCAGAACAAAACACTGCTCGATCCTGCGCCAGCCCCACAATTCCCATCATTGCAGCCACCGTGTCAATCCATCTCATTGAAGGCCTCCCCCTCTTTCCTTGACCCTCCACCCTACCAAGCATGACATCCTTCTCCAGGGAATGGTCCCTTCTTACAACATGACCAAAATAGGTGAGACGAAGTCTGGCCATTCT